ACCCCGGAGGAGAAGCCGTCAGAGGGGCTGAGGGCTCGGAGGAAGCAGACGGAGCAAGGGCTGCGCGGGGGACACACGGGAAAGCCCCGGGGGCGGGCCGCACCGTCCTCCACGGCTCCGCTCGGGAACAGCCTGCACTCGCAGGGAAAACAACAGACGGACTCTCCCCAGGAACCGCACGGCCAGTCCCCACGAGTGTCCTCCAGGTTGCGTTTCATAGGAAATAAGTCTGTACAGCTACTGGCTTACGTGACTAAGATTCCAAAACGTTTAAAGGAACAGTTTATGCCCCAGCCCGTGGCTCAGGTAGCACGTCGGCTGGAGGACGGAGGGTCCCGGCTTGTTCCATCCAGGGCACGCGCCGCGGGGGGAGGCTCGACCCCTGGCCACCAACCATGTCTCACTGACATCTGTCTCTCTGTCACTCCTCCCTTCCTCTCTCTCTAAAAATCACTGGAAAACCCTTGAGGCGAGGATTAACAAAAAACAAGTAATAAAAATAAAAAGCAACAGCTTATAACTACGTTTCTCATCCTGGGATACCATGCACCTCCAGTACTTACATTATTCTACTACAGCAGCGGTTCTCAACCTGTGGGTCGCTGAGACCATCCTGCATCTCAGGTATTTACATGACGATTCATCACAGTAACAACATGACAGTTATGAAGGAGCAACGAAAATAACTGTACGGTTGGGTCACAACATGAGGAACTGCATTTAAAGGGCCAGAGGGTTGAGAACCACTGTGCTACATGTTAAGTACGTATCATATTTTGCCCCAACTGGTGTGGCTAAATGGTTAGAGTGTCGACCTATGAACCAGGTCAGGGTTCGACCTATTCCCAGTCAGGGGACATGCCCAGGTTACAGGCCCGGTCCCCAGTGTGGGGCGTGCAGGAGGCAGCCAATCCATGATATCCATGACTCTCTCATCGGTGATGTCTCTCTCTCTCTCTCTCTCTCCCCCTTCCTCTCTGAAACGAGTAAAAGCATAATGTAAAGAACTAGCAGGCCAAGGTACCAGGACGCCAACGTCTGCTTTAAAGACACACCGACCCCTCGCCCCGTGGGAGACATGCGCCCATCCCAGGCCGCCCGCCTGGGCTGCGTGTAGATGTAGGTGTCACCACCGCAGTGTGTAACCTTCAAGGCGAGGGGTGCTGGAGGGAGCCCGTGTGCGTGTGGCCTGTCCTCACCTGGGGGGGCCGCAGCGGCCTGGTCGCCCGCCGGGGCCTGGCCGAGGTCGTCTGCGATCTCCTCATGGACAGAGGGCAGCGGGAA